GTCAACAACAAATGAAAAAGCATGCAATGACAAGAATAAGTCAATACCTTTCAGTAATAACTCTCAAGGTAAAGTCATCAACTCCCCAATTAAAAGACACAGATTGTCAGACCGGATCAGAAAACAAAACCCAATGGTCTGTTGCATTCAAAAGACTCATCTAATCCAAAAAGAAGTTCATAGACTAAAAAATCAAAGGATGGAAAACAGTATTAGGCTGTGTGGTGGTTAATAAATTGTCAACTTGAGTGGGAATGCCCAGCTGATTTGAGTCAGTATGGTTGTCAGAACGATATAAAAGGGAAGGCTTCCAGCTGATTTTCCTTGGAAGAGCTTCACTGCAGTTGCTTTTCTTCATAGGAGCTTTGGCTACTTTCTTTCTTCTGGTCAGCTTCAATCCTCATCTTCATCTTGGACATCATCTCCTGGCTTCCAGCACAGATCCCTTTGTCTCCCATAGGGTCCTTTGTCTCCTGGTACAGACTTGCACGGGACATTGCCATGGCCTCTAAGCCCTGGACCGGGTCCTTTGCAGACAGATGTCTTGCACTTTTCTACATCTGACTCTAGTAAGCCTTGAATAATACAATGCACCAAGACCCCAAAAGTAAGCCGGGATAGCAATTTGATTCTCAAAGTAAGCTTCTAGCAAAAACAGATCAGAAGAGGTAAAATAGGACCCTACATATTAGTTAACGGAAAATTCAACAGGAAGAGATAACAATTGTAAATATATATGCATTGAATACTGGGGTACCTAACTTCATTGAACAAACACCACTGGACATGAAATATCAAATAAACACCAACACACATAGTAAGTGACCTAATTACCATACTGTTACACACAGATCAACTAAACAAAAAATTAACAAATATCAAAGCTGAAGCACAGCTTCAAAAAAATGGACTTCACAGATAGCTATAGCCATGTTCTATCCTACTACAACAGGATGCACATTCTTCTCAGCAGCACATGAAACTTTCTCCAAAATAGACCATATACTAGCCCATAAAGCCTCCTTAAGTATATACAAAAGAATCAAAAGCATCCCGTGTATTCTGTCAGATCAGAGCACACTGAAAATAGAAATCAACCACAAAAGAAACCACAATTTTACAAACACCTGGATATTAATAAAGCACTCCTGAACACTCAGTGTGTCACAGAAGGAATTGCACAGTTCCTAGAATCAAATGATAATACCAGTACAGTATAGCACAGCAATCCTAAGAGGGAAGTTTATAGCTGTGAATGTCCACATCAGAAAAACTGAACCAGTCCAAATAAATGACCTAATGATGCACCTCATGGTCCTGGAAAAACCAGAATAATCTAAATCCAAAGCTAATACAAGGAAAGAAATAATAAATATCAGAGAATAAATGAAGGAAATTGAGACTAAACAAACAATATAAAGAATCAATGAATCAGAGCTTGCTTTTTGAATGAATAAACAAAATAGATCCTTAGCCCATCTTGCCCAAAAAAGGGGTGAAAAGCCTCAAATCAATGCAATTAGAAAAGAAAAAGGTGAAATCACAACAGACAACACTGAAATCCAGAAGAATATTAGCAACTACTTTGAAAACCTGTACTCCAATAAATTGGAGAATTCAGAAGAAATGGATAGATTCCTAGATACATATGAATTACCAAAACTGAACAAAGAAGATTTAAAAGCCCCAAACAATCCAATAACAGGCAATGGAATTGAAGCAATAATAAAAATCCTACCAACAAAGAAAAGCTAGGTCCTGATGGATTCACTGCTGAATTCCACAAGACCTTCAGGGAGGCTATAACATCAATATTCCTCAAACTTTAATGAAACTGAAAGGGAAGGCGTTCTCCCAAAGTCAGTCCTGGAAGCAAGCATTACTCTGATTCCAAAACCAGACAAGGATCCAACCAAAAAAGGACTATAGGCCAATCTCTCTAATGAACACAGACGCTAACTGAATGAATGAATGAATGAATGAATGAATGAATAAATAAATAAATAAATAAATACAACAAGACACTGGCAAACAATGCAACAAATCACCAAAAAGATCATACTCTGGGCTGGGGAGTTAGCTCAGTGGCGCCATGCCTGGCTTGCAAGTGCAAGGCCCTGAGTTCGATCCCTGGTACTGGAAAAAAAAAAAAAGATCATGCACTGTGACCAAGTAGGCTTCAGCCCAGAGATGCAAGGTGGATGGTTCAACATATGTGCAAATCATTAAATGTAATACATCGGATAAGCAGAAGGAAGGATAAAAATCACATGATCATCTCAATAGATGCAGAAAAAAAACCTGGCAAAATCCAAAATCCAAAATCCATTCACGATTTTTAAAAAGAACTCTGAAAAAATAATAGATATAGAAGGATGTTATCACGGGCCAGGGATGTAGCTCAGTGGCGCCATGCCTGCCTGGCAAGCACAAAGTCTTGAGTTCAATCACCGATACTGGAACAAAAAAAATTAGAAGGACGTTATATCAGTCTCATAAAAGCCATTTATGACAAACTGTCGACATTAAATTAAATGGGGAAAAGCTAAAAGCTCTTTCTCTTGAATCAGGAACAAGATGAGGATGCCCACTGTCACCACTCCTATTCAATACAGTACTCAAGACATTAGCCAAAGCAATCCAGCAAGAGAAAGAAATAAAAGAGATATGTGTAGGAAAGGAAGAAACCAAATTACCATTATTTGCAAATAACATGATTGTTTACATAAGAAGACCCAAAAAATTCCCACCGAAATATTCCTAGAATTAATAATCAACTTCAGCAAGGTAGCAGATAAAAATCAACACACAAAAATCAGTAGTATTCCTGTACACCAATAATGAACTCAGTGACAAAGAAATTAGGGAATCAATGCAATTCACAATAAAATCAAGAACAATTAAATACTTAGGCATTAACCTAACCAAGGAAGTGAACCATCTCTACATTAAAACTGCAGTACTCTGAAAAAGGAGAACAAAAGGACATCTGAAAATCCAAAGATATTCCTTGTTTCTGGATTGGCAAAACCAATTTTGTCAAAATGGCCATATTTTCAAAACTGATATACAGATTTAATGCAATCTCAATGAAAATCTCAACAGCATTTCTCACAGAACTAGAGGGAACAATCCTAAAATTCATGTGGAATCAGAAGAGACTCAGAATAGCAAAAGCAATCCTGGACAACAAGGACAAAGCAGGAGGCATCACAATCCCAGACTTCAAATTATATTACAAAGTTACAGTGATAAAAACAACATGGTACTGGCATAAAAACAGACTTGTGAATCAATAGAACAGAATAAGGGATGCAGAAACAATCCTAGGCACATTCAGGTATCTGATCTTTGACAAAGGGTCCAAAAACATAGGCTGAAAGAAAGCCTTCTTAGTAAATGGCACAGTACTGGCAAAACTGGCTACCCACATGCAGAATATTGAATGTATACCCATATTTCTCACCATGTACTAAACTAAAGTGAAAATAGATCCAAAATCTAAATAATGTGCAAGGTCCCAAGTTCGATCCCCGCTACCAAACAAAAAAAATCTAAATATTAAAACAGAAATACCTAATCTGCTGGAAGATAAAATAGGTAAAACTCTTGAAGACATAGGCATAGGCAAGGACTTTCTGAACAGAATCTCAAGTGCACAAGAAATAACACCAAGAATCAACAAATGGGCTTATATAAAATTAAAAAGTTTCTGCACTGCAAAGAAAACAACCAACGGAGTGAAGAGACAATCTACAGAATGGGAAAATTTTAGCTATTCCTCAACAGAGGACTAATGTCTAAAATATATAAATAAATAAAATAATTAGACCCTATTTTAGTTACTTTTCTTATTGCTTAGACAAAATACCCAACACCCCAAATTAAAGGAGGAAAGGTTTATTTGTTGCATAGTTATAGAGGTTTCAGTTCATAGTTGGCTAGCTCCAGGGCAGGGTGGCATGGCAGAGGGGCATCACAGAGGAGAAACAGTTCACGGGAAAGCAGAGCAGGCAGAAGACAACAAGCAAGTGAGCCCCAAGTGACAAGCCACTTTCTGTCCCTTATATCTTTTCCAGGCTACCTGCCCTTAGAGTGGGTGGCACTCAGACCCTTAATCCTAGTGCCCTTAATCCTAGCACTGCACCATGAATCAATCCCAGAGTCACACACTCTAGATTCAGCCACCTCTGAAATGACTGTATGAGGCTTCCAGGGGACATCTAGACACAAGCCATAACAGATCCTCACCAAAATAAAAGACCCAGTCAAAAAATGGGCACCTGAAACAAATGGACACTTTTCAAAAGAAGTACAAATGGCCAATAAATACATGAAAAAGTCCCACATTTCTGGTTATTAGAGGAATGCAAATTAAAACTTTGAAATTCCATGTTACTCAAAAAAATGGCTATTATCACGAAATCAAATAATAATAAATGCTGGAGAGGCTGTGGGCAAAATGAACACTTCTACATTGTTGGTAGAAATATAAACTAGTACAACCACTATAAAGGATGGAGAGTCCTCAAAACACTGAAACTAGAAATTCCATTTGACCCAGGTATTCACCTTCTTGGTACCTTTCTGGAAGAGTTAAAGACATCATATTACAGTGATCCATGCATACCCGTGTTTATAGCAGCATAATTCATGATAGCTAAATCTTGGGAAAGTTCTACATGTCCATCAACAGATGAATGGATAAAGAACAGATGGTGTTTATCCACAATTGGTACTACTCTGCCATAAAGGAGGATAAACTTGAGTCATCTGTAGGAAAATGAATGCATCTTGAAACCATAATGTCAAGCGAAATAAATCAGAAACACAAGCTTAAAGATTCCATAGTTTCTCTTATATGAGAAATCCAAAATATAAATAAATTAAAAAGCAAAATGAATGATAGATAATAGGAGGTGGAGGATGTGTTAAGCATATATGATCATGATGTATTTCAAACATGTAATAATACAAACAAAAAATGAGGTCATATTTACCTTTTGGCAGTCTCCTTGAGTGCAAAGGACTGACATCACTTATTCCATGAGGGTAGATGTTATATGGTCGGCTTGCTTTATTCTTAAATATAATCTGAAAGTATAAATGAAATATAGGATTAAACCCTAAGACAAATAGGACCAACAAGAAAACTGTAGCCTATCTCCAGAAAACCAAAAGCTGCCTGTACTTACATTATAGGAGTTTGAGCCTAGCTAATGTTCAAAATGTTTGTTCTTGTCATTAAATCATTTAGACAGCTGTTTAGATTTCTCACTAAAGGCCTCTTTCCATTTCTTTAAAAATTATTTCAGTTGCTTCAGGGAGTTTTTCTGCACCTTCTCACATGAATGGAGAGGACACTGCTCCCTCTCAAGCTTTTCCATTATTTGGGCACTAAATTCCCTAAGAGAAGAGAGACAGATAAGGAGTCCAGGGGTAAAATAAGAAGCATGGCTAGGAGGACAGTTGACAGCATCAAGCAAAGATTGGAGAATTGCACTGATGCAAGGACTTTAGAAGACAGGAAGGAAGACAGAACATGGAGACAGCAAGGGAAACACAGATGTTAATCCTTCCTCTATATCTGAGCCTGTATGATATAAGAGTGAAAAACTAACTTCTACTTGCACTCCTGTCTTAAAATCCACTCATTTGATAAGTCTACCATATCGTCTATTTCTTATTATAGAACAGCTATTCATTATCTATGTGGTGCTGGGGATTGAACCCAGGGCCTCACACACGCAATGCAAGCACCTTACCACTGAGCTACATCCCCAGCCCACAACAGTCTTATTTATTCCCTTCCAATATTAAAATTTTCTTTTTTTCTCCTAAGAACACTCACTGATATTTCCAGTATAACATTAAACAGAGGTGGTGATACCTGCCAGCTCTGACTTGTCCTAACCTTAAGCACCTTAAGCAGGTTTTTAAATTTCACCAAGTATGATGGCTACTATACTTTTTTTTCTTTTTTGCAAATCTTTATCAAGATAATGATTCTCTTGTAATACTTTACATTTAAGGTTTTTTTTATTTTTTGATTTGGTATAAATTGCCAATAAAATGAAAACTCTTGCTAGATTAATAATGATTCTCATTCAGCACACTAAACGTGGGATTTCATTTTCTTGTGGCTTCCTTTCTTGAACTAGAGAAGTAAGCTGTCAGTCCAGGACTGAGTCCCAAATTCTTTGGCACTCCTTCCATCATGAAGTGCACCAAATTTCCATTCTCTTTGTTTCTAGGTAGGCTTTGGCTGCTGTCAACTAACAGGTTATGGTATGAAGTACTGTGTAACTTCTGGCTCTGGGTCATAAAAAGTGAATACTGGGGCCGGGGATTTAGCTCAGTGGTTCTGCTGCCTGCCTCGCAAGCGCAAGGTCCTGAGTTCGATCCCCCGTACAAAAAAGAAAAAGTGAGTACTTCCATACTGGAACACACATGGTTGGAACTCTGAGCCACCATGGAAGAGGTCTCACTGCCTTGAAGCCACTATAGTATGAGGAAGCCACGCCATATACACAGGCTCCATGTGGATGCTCTGGTTGGCATTTCTAGTCTTCAAGTATCACCACTCAGGTGTCTTGGTCCCTCTAGAGCCAAGTGATCAACACCAAGTGACCTCAATCAATGCCAAAGAGATAAATAATTGGCCAAATGAGTCTTTCCTGAACTCCTGACATATAAAATCCGTGAGAATAATAAACAGCTGTTTTGCAACCCCTGAGTTTTGAGGTACTTGGGTATACAGTATTAGTGTAAGAGTTTCTCTATCATTGCTTTGAATATATGTTGTTTTTTCTGTTTGATTTCTGTCCATTGAAAAACATGTTTATAGAGGCATAATTTATACAGTGGACCTTTGACTTACAAACTCAATTCGTTTGCAAGGGCTGGTTGTAACTCAAGTTGGTCAGTGAAGACTCAGGCTCCTCTCCACAGCCTTCAGAGTCTCTCTCCTGCACACAGGCGGATCTCAGTGTCCTTAGAGAGACATTGGCCCAGGATTTCTCAGTTAACCCCACACAGGAAAGGATGCTGTCATGTCCCTTCCAGAACTCTTTAAGGGTTCAGTCTGTATCTGAGACCATCTGGAAGCACAAGCAGCCAGCATTTGGGTTGTAACTCAAGACTTTGATCATAAGCGAAAACTAAAATTCCCATCATAACTCACGTTGTTCATATGTCAGGCCAGTCATAACTCAAGGGTCCACTGAATATCATAAAATTCATCTATTTAAGTGTGCAATTTAATGATTTTAGAAAATTTATAGAGTTATACAATTATTACCACATTCTAGAATGAGAATATTTCCATCACCCCAAAAAGATTCTTTTTTTTTTGTACTGGGAATTGAACTCAGGGCCTTGCGATTGCCAGGCAGGCACTTACCGCTGAGATATATCACAAGCCTCCCCCTCAAAAAAGATTCTTCATGCTATGTTACCACCAAATGCTGCTCTCACCCCCAACTCTGGAAACCACTTAAAGAGCTTTTTGCTCTATAAATCGGCCTTTTCTGGATATTTCATACAAGGTAAATAATGTGATATGCAAAGTCTTTTCTGTCTCACTTCTTTAACTTACCATGCTTTGGTTTGATTAGTGTTGTATAACGTAAAAATAGTTCGTTTATGTTAATTGCTGCATATTCTAATTATATGGGTATATCATATTTTATTTATCCATTCACCAAATGGTGATTATTTAAATGGTTTTCAATGTAGAGCTGTTATGAAGAGTGCTTCTATGAATATTTGCATACAAGTCTTTGTGTGAACTGATGTTTCTGTGCCTGTTGGGTATATTTCTAGAAGCGATATTGCTAGGTCATATGGTAATTCCTTTTTGAATATTTTGAGGAATAAAGTGGCTTCACTGTTTCACCTAGTACCAGAAATTTATGAAGGTTATAATTTCTCCATGTTCTCACCAACTCTTGTTAACTGTTTTCTTGATAATAGCCATTCTAGTGGATGTGAAGTGGTATCTCATTGTGGTTTGGATTTGTATTTCCCTAATGTTCAGCATCTTTTCATATGATTATTGGCCATCTTTTTTTGCTGCTGTTGCTTTTGAGACAGTGTCACAGTGTGTGGCCATGGTGTTATACAGGATGAATGATTACTTGGAGACGAGACTTTTACTTGGAGAGGTCCAGAGGGCTGTCTCGACAGAGTGCCCAGCATTAGGGAGACTCCCAGGAGAAGCCCCAAGCTGAAAACTCTCCAGCTTCTATTTAGAATATTAGTGTAAGTGAAAAAAGCAGAAGAAAAACAGTTTGGGAAGAAGCTGTCTCAAGGCTAGGCAGTTTTTTGGGAGAAAAGGGAAGGACAACAGCCAGACACAACATACTTCACTAATCTGAAGTTCATGTTGTTTAATTATTCATTTCTCATAGAACCTGTGTGCTTTTGCCCCACAGTTTAATCATTCACTCCTCGGACAAGTCCCCCACAAGACAGGGTCTCACTATATACTTCAGGTTAGTCTTGAACTCACTTGGAGCCCAGGCGGGCCTTGAACTTGTGACGATTCTCCTACCTCAGCCTCCCAAGTGCTGGGATTAGAGATGTACACCACCATGCCTGGCTGGCCATCTCATACATGATCTTTAGAGAAATGTCTGTACAAACCTTTGCTTAGTTGGATGATTTGTATTTTTATTATTTATTTGTAAGAGTTCTTTATATAGTTTGGATGCTTGATCTTTACCAGATATACAATTTGAATATATTTTTCCCATTCTATGGGTTATCTTTTCACTTTACTGTTGGTGTCCTTTGAGGTAGACAAGTTTTTAATTGTGATGAAGTCTATCTGCTCTTTATTTTGTTGCTTCTCTTTGTTTTTGGTGTCATATCTAAGAAACTAGTGTCCAACCCAAGGTCATAAAGATTTATTCTGATATTTTCTTCTACACTATTTCTGTAGGGGAATATATCAACTCATAGCAATGATTGTCAGACTATGGGATTAGGAGTCTGGAAGTGAGGAAAAATTATTCTTTACTCTCTACATTTCATCTTTTGAATTATTTTTATGAATTTATTTAAAAATAGGTAAATTATTTATGAATTTATGACAACAAAATGTACCTGAATAGTTAACTAGAATTTTGAAGATGTATAATGAGAAAAGATTTACCCTAAAGATATCAAAACATAGGGCCGAGTATTTAGCTCAGTGGCACTGCACCTGCCTCGCAAGCGCAAGGTCCTAAGTTCGATCCCTGGTACCAAAAAAGAAAAAAAAAGATATCAAAATATTAAAAAGTTTCAGTCATTAAGACAGTATAATAATAGCTCCATTAAAGAGAACCAAAGACTCCAGATTTTAGCAGTTTAGTATATGACAAAGCAGTTATTTTCAAAAAAGGATTGGTTGAGAAAAAAAAAAAAAAAAGGATTGGTTGAGCCAGGTAGCTGTCATTTGAGAAAATCCCAATTGGGTACTATATACTACACCCAAAACAACCTCCAGAGGAATTAAAGTGCTTGCTGCAAAAATAAAGTCATAAAAAAAGAATAAAACATGGAAGAATCTGTATAATGTTTTCAGGATGATGAAGACATTCTCTGGCAGAAAACATAAAGAAAACGGTCCATAAAATAAAAATGAAAAGACTGATACCAGATACAAGATCATGATCATATAAAAATAAAAAATTCCTATGAGAGGGCCAGGGATTTAGCTCAGTAGTTCCACCACCTGCCTTGCAAGCGCAAGGTCCCAAGTTCGATCCCTGGTACAAAAAAAAAAAAATCCTATGAGACAAAAGATATCATAAAGGCATTAAAGTATAAGTGACAGACTGAAAAAAAATTTGAAAGATAAATAAATAATAGGGAAATTCGAATGAAGATAATATATAAATATTTTGCTCATCAAAGTGGAAAATTTTGTAAAGGCTTATAAAATGGTTGTTGAAATGGAGTGGGAAAAGAGTACTCATATATTTCATTGAGAGATATAAATCAGTACAGAACTGTTGGACCTCACTTTGGCAATATCTAACAAAATTCCATATATAAGAACCAGTATCCTTCGTGGTATTCTTCTGCAGCTGAATTGCCAATCATCTATCTCCGAATCTCTTGTGAAGAAAATAAACCCATATTCATTTAAACCACTGTTCATTGAATATTCTATTAAATTGAAGCTTAAATACTCTCTTTTGGGGAGGGATACCAGGGATCAAACTCAGGACCTTGTGCTTGCAAGGCAGGTGGTGGAACCACTGAGCTAAATCCCCGCCCCCCCCCAAGTATTCTTAATGCTCTAGATTGGGGGTCAGCAAACATTTTTTGGAAAGGGCTGGATAGTAAACACCTTAGGCTTTGTCACATATTCTCCACCCTTTTACCCCCTCCCTTTTCTTCTCTTTGCAACCCTTAAAAAATGTAAAATAGGGCCGGGGATTTAGCTCAGTGGTTCCGGTGCCTGCCTCGCAAGCGCAAGGTCCCGAGTTCAATCCCCGGTACCAAAAAAAAAAAGAAAGAAAAAATGTAAAATACCTTCTAAGCTCACAAACTGTCCAAAAGCAGACCACAAACTGAATTTGGTTCACAAGCTGTAGTGTTTTGATTCCTGTACTATATAAGAAATGAAAAATGTTCTGGAAGGATATCTATCAAAGTCTAAGCGATAAGAAATTCAAAGAAATGGTGGGTTTAAAGGATGACATTAAATTTCCCCCTATATACTCATTTAAAATATATATATTAAGTATTTATTTCTATAGCATTTATAATTCTTAAACGATCATATCCGTTGGAAATAAGGCTGAATTATGAAGTATTGTAGAAGCCCCAAACCTCCAGACTTTTGATTCTTACCTAATCTCAAGTCTTTTCCTTAACTTACCAATAGTGTGTCTCCAACTTCACCATAAAGTAGAGGTCCCAAGATTCCTGATTCATACTGAATAGTTTCCCGGGTCTTAAAGGTTTCATCTGTGTATGCCATAAATCGGATTTTTTTATACTTCCTACCAATTTGCTGAGGACCATTATTCAAATATTGACTTTTATAACTTCTGTTTGAGAGACAAAAATATGAAGGGTTGGGATAGAAAATCTTAGTTACAACAAAATATTCAGTTCTAAAACAGCTGATCTAATTTCATCCAGTCAGGGAATAAGAAAAACACAGTACAAGTATATCTGATGCTTCACTATGGTGGTCTCCACATAATGTTAATAACTGTTGTAGTTCGCTATTCAGTGTCCCCCACAGGTCATGTGTTGAAGGCGTGGTTCACATCCTGGGGTGCTATTCGGAGGTAGTGGAACCTTGAGGGGGTGGAAGGAAGTTGGGTCACTGAAGGGCATGGCCTTGAAGGGGATCTGTGGACACCTGGCCCCTTTTACTTTCTCTTACTGTTTCCTAGACTCATCCAACATATGCTCACACCAAGATGTTCTGCCTCACTAGGGGCCCAAAGTAAATTGGCCATGCAACCATGGACTGAAACCCCTGAAACCATGAGACAAAATCAACCTTTCCTCCTGGAAGTTGTTTATCTTAGGGTGGGTTTTTTTTTTGGTACCGGGGATCAAACTCAGGTCCTTGCGCTTGCGCAGCAGGTGGCGAAACCACTGAGCTAAATCCCCAGCCCTATCTTAGGGTTTTGTTTTTTGTTTTTGCTTTTGCCACAGTGCTAGAAAGCTGACTAACACAATACTCTTGTCATTTGAATTCATACCCGAACTAACACTTAAGCACAGCCTAAGGATTTTGTTTGAATAACTAATAAGAACATATTGGGTAAGGGGAAGAGCAGCAGTAAGACTCTAAATGTGTTTACCTGTCATCGGAGGCGTGGACTGAAGGAGCATAGTCCCAGTCCTCCTCCTCAGCAGCAATATAATGTATCCATGTTTTAGGGTGCTTCTTGGCAGCTGAGCGAATTTGGATAAAAGGAGAGTAGTCATCATCAAACCTAAATACATCCATTTCAGAATCAAGATCATCATCATCATCATCATAATCTTCCTCTTCTTCATCCTCTTTCATCCTCAGATGGGGTTCTTCTGGGCAGCTGTCTACTTTCACATAAGCTTCCATGCCATCTGGGGTCAGACACACCAAACAGGGTCAGACTCTGATGCAGCTTTCTTACCTTAACTTCCATGACTTCTTTTTCCTCTTCTTTCCATGTCAGTACTCCTTTTAGCCATGCTTGTATATGGATTTTTTTTATATGGATTATCTGGTACTGCCTGGTTTATTCCTCTGGTCTTTGCTTTTGCCATTTTTCTTTTGCTGGACTGTCCATATATGTTTTGGTCCTTTTTTTTCAAAACTCATTAATTTGCTCTAGTGTTACATATATAAATAGTTCCCTTCTAAAACTGGTTTTGAGCCTATCAAATTAAAAAGAGGCCATATTTTTCCTGGTAAGCTGTTATTAAATCAGTTATTTATATGGCAATCCAATGGAGTAAGCACAGAAATCAGTAGGTGACTGTGGAGTTACGGAGTTAGTCTGGTAAAGGCTCTCGAATGTTGAAAATAAAACAACCTGTAGTCCCTTTTTCCATAGTATTGAAGCATAGTTAATGAGATCAGGCAAGAAAATCAAAGACTTACTGTCCTCTTTCATTTTCCCCATCTCACTTATTGTTAAACTACCTCTCTTCTTTCTATCACCAACATTTAACTAAAAATCTGCCCATACTAATAATACTCAAGTCCTCTTACACTCCAGGTAAAATCTTTAGTCTGTATGCTAGCAACTAGGGGGTCTCAGTTGGGGTCTCATATAATTCTAACTCTATAATGGCAACTTCTGCACCATGCTATAATTCTGCACAGCGTCCAGTAAATTCCATTAAAAGTAGAACTGGATTTTTATAATATTCATTTTTAAGACCTAAGATATTACCATGTTGATGGGAAGATATATGACAATACAGTAGAAATTGTCCAAGGTCCATCAGCAGTGTCTGAGCAGTAAGAAAAGTTATTGGTGATATCTCCAAGGAGGCCTGGCGATGGTTCCTCACAAGAAATGTGTGACCTTCAAAGAATATTGAGTGTACTTCGGGGGTGGTGCCCATTCCAATCACATGCCAGTAGACAGATTTCCTGTGGCACCCAATCAGACCTATAAAATAGAAGTAAGACAGCTATGGCTAAGAAGAAGAGAATTTGAAATGGAAAATACTTGGTACAACAAGATGGACTAAAGGACCATGCAAGTTTTATTGTTACCTTAACTCATAAACAAACATATCAGGGAAATTGGAGTTACCATCAAACCAACAGCTCTTGCCAAGTTCATCAATGACCATCATGCTGCTAAACTCAGTGGACATGCAATCTTCATCACCTCATTCTCCTCCAGAGTTCCTTATCTTAGTGAATGGCATCATCCAGGATTCAGTTATGCAGGTGAGAATTTTCCTTGTCACCACCCATATCCAATCTCACACAAACTATGGCAATATAGTTAATATCTTCAATGCTCAGTTCAAGTGGTATTTCTTCAGGGAATCTAGTCTACGATAGATTTCTTTATTATGTGTTCACATATAATTATGTAAATTTCTTTCAGAGTAATTCTTGGTTTATAATTTTGCATTTATTATGATGATTATTTGGTTATTACCTCTCTCTCCATTATACTATAAGTTATTTGAGAGCCAGGTCTTGAGTGTATGAAAGATTAATTTTTTATTCTAAAATTATGCATATTCATTATGGAATTAACAGCATGAGTACAGAAAATAATTAAGAAGAGAAGACCCTTCTCATCTTTCATCCTTCATCATTCTCTTGGTTGTTCAATCTCCCAGATGCTTTCATTTACTCTCTAGTTTTACTCTAGTACGTATTCACTGGCTTCTAGGTCCTTCTATTTCTGAAAAATAAGTATTGTATTCCCAAGGCTGTTTCCTCATTTAGTTAAAAATTATAGGTTAAAAATAGGGCTGGGGATGTTGCTCAGCAGCACAGTGTCCGCCTGGCAAGTGGGAGGCCCTGAGTTTGATCCCTGGTACAAAATAAAATAAAATAAAAAATAAAAATGGGGCCAGGGATGTAGCTCAGTGGTGCCATGCAAGGTCCTGAGTTCAATCCCTGGTGCCCCCCCCCAAACAAATCTTTCCCATGGCCATTCTTCTAAAACTGTTACACAGATTTAATGCAATCCCAATCAAACTACCAATAGCATACTTCACAGAACTAGAGAAAACAATCCTAAAATTCATATGGAACCAGAAGAGACTCAGAATAGCAAAAGCAATCCTGGACAACAAGGGCAAGGCTGGGGGCATTACATTCCCCGATTTGGAGTTATACTGCAAAGTTACAGTGATAAAAACAGCATGGTACTGGCAAGCCAAACAGACCCAAGGATCAGTGGAACAGAGTAGAGGATGCAGAAACAATTCCAAATACACTCAGCCACCTTATCTTGGCAAAGGAACCAAACACCCTCACTGGAAGAAAGATAGCCTCTCTAATAAATGGTGCTGGGAAAACTGGCTTTCCACATGCCAAAGATTAAACCTAGACCCATATCTTTTACCATGCACTAAACTAAAATCAAAATGGATCAAGATCTAAATATTAAAACAGAAATACTTAATCTGCTGGAAGATAGAATAGGTAAAACTCTTGAAGACATAGGTGTAGGCAAAGACTTTATGAACAAAACCCTGATTCCACAGAAATATTACAATGAATCAACATCTGGGATCACATCAAATTAAAAAGTTTTGAACAGCAAAATAAACCACCAACAGAGTGAAGAAACAACCCACAAAAAGAGAAAAAAAATTTGCCAAGTATTCTTCAGACAAAAGACTAATATCTAGAATATATAAGGAAGTAAAAAACTTAGGACCCCCCTCCAAATTTAAAGACCCAATCCAAAACTGGGCATCCAAAATGACTGGACACTTTTCAGATGAAGTATAAATGGCAAATAAATATATGAAAAATGTTTCATATATAACTATATGAAGAAAATGTTGAACACTTCTCATTCAAGAAATACAAATTAAAACAACATTGAGATTCCATCTCACTCCAGAAAGAATAGCCATCATCAAGAAATCAACCAATAACAAATGGTGGCGAGGCTGTGGGGAAAAAGGAACCCTTCACCACTTTTGGTACAGGTGTAAATTGCTACTACCACTATGGAAATCAGTATGGAGATTCCTCAAAAAACTGAAAGTAGAAAATCCATTTGACCCAGGTATTCCCCTCCTAGGTATCTTCCTGAAAGAATTAAAAGCATCATTCCACAGTGATATATGCATATCCACACCCATGATTATAGCAGCACAATTTATAATAGCTAATTATTGGGAACAGGCCATATGCACATCAATGGATGAGTGGATAAAGGAAATGTGGTTTTTAATAGACAATGGAGCACTACCCTGCCACAAAGAAGGATAAACATGAATCTTTTTTAGGTAAATGGATGCACCTCGAGACCATAATGTTAAGTAAAATAAATCAGACGCACATGTTTAAATACTGTATTGTTTCTCTTGTGTGAGAAACCCAGACAATAAACTAGGACCAAAATGGAGGATAGATATTGGGAAGTAGGAAGAACATGTTCCAATGGGAAGAAGAACAAGAGAGGGGGGAGGGGAAGGGAAAGAAGGGAATAGGGATTTTAAAAAGAATGGAAGGAAAACAATGGAAACAAATTTTTGTAAATGGGGAGAAGGTCTGAAGGGAGGAGAGGGAAATGGGAAAATAAGTATTAAGATATATTATGGACATAGGCCTTAGATTTAGCTCAGTGGTTCCTCTGCCTGCCTTGCAAGCGCAAGGTCCCGAGTTTGATCCCCAGTATGGGGGGGGGAGCTATATCATGTACAGGTACAGATTCCCTATGATGGATGTGATTATTATGCATGGCAAACATGTACCAATAAAAATTAATTTAAAATCAAACTTTCAAAAATGTAACTTAAAAAAAATCTCTCCCTTAGAACTTTTAAGATATTGCTCCATACTTACCTGGCAGGGGAGATACCATGATCATGAAGATATTGCTCCATTACACTGTCAGCCCAGTTCTTAGTTCTTCATACATGACTTGTTTCTCACAGCAAAAGTTTTATGTCTTATCTTTGTATGCTGAAATGCCACAGTAATAATTTTGTGTAGGGTTCCTTTTTATCTTGATGGGTAATTTTTAGTAGGAAGACGTTTATCTCTTATTTTCTAGCATTTTAATTTTGTCATTTATTTTAAATCTATTTTAAAATGTATTCTCATCATTTTTTTGTTTTACTTCATGCAACATGTTCCCTACCTACTTTCTATTGAATTTGTATTTTGACAATTATATTTCTAACTTTTATGAGCGTGTTCTTGTTCTGATTGGTTCTTTTTTGTAGGCTCTTGTTGTGACTTTATTGATGCAGCATCTTCTTGAATAGTTGTGAAAACAATCTCTGGCAAGTTCTCTTCTGTTTTTAGCATTATCTCTTTCTCCTCCAGGATTGTTTTTCTTCATTTATCTTTGCATATTCCTTTCATATTGCAGCCTGTCCTTACATGTATGTTCATCCTTGATTGCCCACTCATATTTGATCGCCTAGATAGAGAAATCTGGTTGTGAGTCCTGTGTATGCAAACAGGCCTTCATTTTCAGGTGATCTTAAGAACACTAAAGGCCAGTAGACAGTGGGCTTTCTACTAGGATGGAGAGCAGTCTGAGACCTGGAGAACAGACCTCTTGTGTTGAATTCAAAACACCTGAGGACTATTGAGCAGCCGTGTACATACCTGGCAGAGACCTGTTTACATAGCCATTGACTGTGTGCATTTTAGGCCAACCCCCGGCAGATGCAGAATCTGAAGCCTGGGTCCTAAGGCCCTTTGTTTCTGAGTGCCAACTCTTTCCTGATGAGAGAGAAAGCAAAATAGAGTCAGCGAAGCTCTGACTCATGAGTGACCATCCTCTCTACCCTCTGTATGGTTCAGATCTGGAATGTCTTCCAAAGGCTCATGATTTGAAGGTTTGGTGCCCAGTGCAGCCATGTACAGAGCTAAGGTTTATGGAAAATGACCAGATCACTAGGGCTCTGACTGCATCAGTAGATTGATACATGGATAAGTTCATAATTGGAGGTGGTGGAAACCGTAGGAGGTGTGGCCTAGTTGGAGGCAGTGGGTCATTGGAAGCACGACCAGGAAGAGGAGGTCTTGGGCCTGGACTTTCCCCCACCCCTGTCCTCCTTACTGGCTGCCATGAGGTGAGCAGCTTTCCTCCTCTACACCTGTCTGTCATGATGGTACTGCCTCACCACAGACCAACCATGGAGTGAAAATGTGAACCAAAATAAATCTTTCCTCCTTTAAGTTTTTTTTCGGGTATTTTGTCAGCAACAGAAAGCTAACATATCTCCCTTAGGACAAAAACTACTCACAGTATAAGCATTTTTGTCAGCAAAGTAGGCAGGCGACTTATCCTCTCAAAGTCAGTGAGAGGAGAAGACAATCATCAAAAGTAGACATTTCTTGCTCAGACTGATTTTATCTCCCTATATTTGTTCATGACAATAGCAGAGAAAAAATGATAAATGATAACTTGGGGAAAGGAGAATATTGGTTAGTTTTAGCCACAAGGATTTCATTCTATTAGTTGATTTATTTAAAAGGAAGGAGATGAACGTCACTCCCCCCTACCAAAAAAAAGGGCTGTCAGTCCTTATCCCTGTCACAATTGCTTCATCCAGATTTGCAGAAATGAAATTCCAAAACCTGAAAGCTTCCCTACCTCTTCTCTAAAATCAATAAAACCTAGAGCACTGGAAATTCCTCTAGCTGTCATAACAACTGAGTGTTAGGAACCCAGAAAGACTGGAAGACTAGTCAAGAGAAATATGATGAGAGCCTCGATTAAGGAAATGGCAGTGTGGGTGGATGAGAGGTGAGAGAAGATGACCATGTTGTTCTTTTTGTTTTTTGCAGTACCAGGGATCAAACTCAGGACCTTGCACTTGCAAGGCAGGCACAGTGCCACTGAGTTAAATCCCCGGCCCACAATGTTGTTCTGGTTGTTGATTATATAATGATTTTGGCCTATTCTGAATCAAATAGTGTTCAAAATACTTAAGTGAAATCACCTAAGCCTTACAGCAATCCTATGAAAAAAATACTATTATTTCAATATTAGATGTAGGAAACTGAGACACAGAATTTAAGGAATTTTCTAGAGGTAACACATTTAGTAAGAGATGAAGATAAAAGAAGATACTTAGGAAGTACAGCCAAAAATCTTTGTTGGTGGATTTCAGGAAGGGGACAAGACTGATTCCTCTATTTTCTTACCTCATAGCTGATGCTGGTGCCATGCTCTTTGATCCTTAGGACTATGAGCTACATAAACCATTTTTCTTTTAAAGTATCTAATCTCAGCTATTTTTTTTTATAACAGCTCAAAATGGACTAAGACAGACACCATTGCCAAGTATATTCCTATCCCTAGGGTTTATCCTGAATAGTATATTCCTTACATTCCTATCCCTAGGGTTTATCCTGAATAGTAATATAATTTTCTATAATCTCTTCCTCTGAGTAGAAGCAGCTCACATTCTGAAATATCATATTAAGATAGTATATTTTACTTCTTTCTTGAGTCCAAAATTTAGACTGAAGCTCACTTACCTTCATCAAATACAGCAAAAAGTAGTACAAATTGGTTCAAGTTCTGTGTCCTTTCTTTGGTCAGACTCCCTGAAAAAGAGGTGAGAGCATTATTTTCTATTTAAAAATCTCATCATAGAAAATAGCCACTAGGAGGAGATATTTCTTCATGAACTGTCAGAGTAAAGAACAAAGGTAGTTCTTTGTCTATCGTTTGCTGTTAACATTAGTTTTTTGATGTAAGGTCCGCGGTATCCGTGTTTCTAAAACTATGACAGGTAAAGGGTTATTTTTTAATTTCAAATTTGTTTCAGATCATTACTTTTGTAAAATGTAATAAAAAGTAATTACTAGAGAGGACGGGGATTTAGCTCAGTGGTTCTGCCGCCTGCCTTGTAAGTGCAAGGTCCCGAGTTCGATCCCCAGTACCAAAAAAAAAAAAAAAAGTAATTACTAGAAATACCAGTCCACATAACATGCACATACGCGCGCACACACATAGTCATAACAGAAAAAAATTACAAAAACAATATACATTGTTAGTGGTAATGAGTGTATAAGCAATTAATAAAGGCAAATTCTATTACTCATCACTTTTTATTTTGCAATTTTAAGTGAACAAAAAGTTAGGAATGAAATATAATTAAACACTCATATTTTACATGAACACCATATATATCAATATGTAATATTTTAATGGCATAAATGAGCTTGCTTCATGCTTTAAATTTTTCCTGTCTTTCTTAGCATTATATTTCTTTATCTCATTGGAAAGTTTTATTCACAGGCTTATTTTGAATAGCATTATTGTTTATGACGTTCTGCCTTTCTTTCTCTCTTGAACCCTTAATGCTTAGAAACAAAAATTATCTTGGGCTAGGGAAGTAACAAAATGTGCGCTGCTACTCATAAGGCCATGATAAGAGACACAGATAAAGCCAGCTGCAGAGTAACACTGTAAAGGACACAGTGCTACTGAACAAGCTCACTGAATAACAACTCTGTTCTTTAACTGACTCTTGCAGATATTTTCTCTGAGCGCTGCTTGTTTTTTTCTTTTTTCTTGGTAGTATCTTGCATAAAACAATAGTTATTCATTTTGATAAGATCTAATTTATCAAATCTTTAATATATTGTTTTAGTATCCTTTTAGAACTCTCTTCTCCTAGGTTATGAAGATTTTTACTCTGTATCCTGAAAACTTTATTGCTTTACATGACACATTTTAGAAGTGCAATGCACTATCCATTGTGCAACAGGTATTTTACATTTTAAATCCGTAATCTATTTTGAGATAATCTTTGTATAAGGAGTAAGGATTAGATTAAGGTTAACTGTTTGCATATGAATGTCCATTTATTCCAACATCATTTCTTGAATTCTATTGAATTGTGTTTGTACCAGATCAGTTGGGCATTCTTGTGTAGAACTATTTCTGGACTCTCTATGATATCTTATCAACCAATGAGTTTATCCAACTAACCAATCTGTCATAATGACTGCAACAGTGTGGTCCACTGTAAAATAGGGTAGAGTGATTCCTTCAGCTCTATTATTTTGCAAAATATTTTTGGCAAATATACTACTTTTGCCTTTCCATATAAGCTATGGAATCAGTTTGTCTATACTGACAAAAATCAAGCTTAGATTTTGATTGGTATTGCATTAAATCTGTGTAGTGAGGAGAATAGACGTCTTTACTGTGTTTGAATCTTGTAGTCCATAAACGTAGTGTGTTTCTCCATTTATTTAGTTCTTTGATTTATTTTATCAGCATTTTGTACATTGCACTGTTCAAACACTATACATGTTTTGTTACATGTACACCTAAATTTTCAATTTTTGGAGAAACTTTAAACACTATTTAAAAATTTTTTGTTTCCAATTATTCTTTAGTAATATATAGCATAAAATTGACTTTTGTATGTTGTGTATTCTGCAACCTTGCTAAACTCAGTTATTAATTGTGGGAGGAGGTTTTGTTTTTTAAAGATTTCTGAGTTTTCTACATTGCCAATAATATCTGGATATAGGATCAGTGTTGTTTCTTTCTTTCCAGTGTATGCTTTTTTAATATTGCACTATCATACTGGCTAAGACTTTCAGTGCTATACTGAATAGGGATGGTTAGAATAGACATCCTTGCTTTGTTTCCAACCTTAGAGGGAAAGCACTGTTTTTCATCACTATGCATGGTGTTAGCTATAGGTTTTTTGTAGATATTCTTTATCAGGGTGAGAAAGTTACCTTCTGCTTCTAGTTGGCTGGGAGTTTTTATTAGTTGATGTTGTATTTTGCCAAATGCTTTCATTTGCATCAATTGATACAATCATGTAGTTTTTCCTCTTTAGCCTGTTAATATCATGGATTATATGGATTTATTGTCAAACATTGAATCAGCTTGGATAAACCACACTTGGTTATGGTACATTCTTTTTATATATTGATGTATTCTATTGGCTGACATTTTTTGAGAATTAACATGCCAAGGCTCATGAGGGATATTGACCATAGTTCTCTTTTGTGTACTATCTTTGTCTGTTTTTGGTATTGGATAATACTGACCTTTTAGTTGGAAAGTGTTCATCACCTTTTATTTTCTGGAAGAGATTTGTAGAATTGGTTTTATTTCTCCTCTAAATGTTGATAAAATTTACTAATGAAACAATCTGAAACCAGGTATTTCTTTACTGTTGAAATTTTTAAAATTATGGTAAAATGAATATTAAAATTTACCCTTTTACTTGGCTTGCAGTGTGCAGTTCAGTGGCATTGAGTACATTCACAATGTTATGTGACCATCACCACTATCTAGTTCCAGTACACTTTAATCACCCCAAAAAGAAATCCTATATTCATTAGGGTCACCTCTCTTTCTCTTCTATTACCAGCTGTTGCTATTTCTAAAGATTTACTTATTCTGGGCATTTCATGTAAATTATACCATGCACTATGTGACCTTTTATGTCTGACTTCTTCACTTAAGTTTAATATTTTCAAGGTCCATCCACATTATAGAATGTGCCAGTAATTCATTCCTTTTTATGGCTGAATAATATTCATTGTATGGATGCATCTCATCTTGTTTATCCTCTCATTAGCTGATGGACATTTGGGTTGTTTTGACCTGTTAGCTATTGTGAATAGCTGTATTATGAGCACTCAGGTACCTGTTTTTAATGCCTGCTAACAGTTCTTTGGGGACTATACCTTGGAATTGCTAGGTACAGGGTAATTCCGTGCTTAAGAGTTTGAAGGACCACCAAAGTGTTTTCCAAAGCAGCTGCACATAAATTGGTGTAATACAGGGCTGGGGATTTAGCTCAGTGGTTTCGCTGCCTGCTGCACAAGCGCAAGGACCCGAGTTCGATCCCCGGTACCAAAAAAAAAAAATTGGTGTAATACATTCTAACCAGTAATGTATTGAAGGTTAGACTTTCTCCATAATCTTGGCAATATTTGTACTTTCCTTATTTTTAAAAAATTATACCCATTTTAGTGGGTGTAAAGTGGTATCTCATTTTGGTTTTGATTTGCATTTCCTTAATATTCTTTTTATATGCTTGCTGAACATTTGAATATTTTTCTTTGAAGACATATCTATACAGATCTTTTGCATATTTTGGAATTGGAATATATATCTTCTTTATTATTGAGTTACAATATTTGTTTACATATTTCAGATATAAATCACTTATAAGATATGATTTGCAAATATCTGAGTGCTATCTCTTTTACATTTTTTATGTTATTCTTTGAAATTCAAAGTTTGGTGTAATATTTAAGAAACCATCGCCAAATCCATGGTCATGAAAATTTAATCTTTGGCCAGGGATGTAGCTCAGTGGTGCCGTGCCTGCCTGGCCTGTGCAAGGTCCTGAGTTTGATTCCTGGTACCAAGAAAGAAAGAAAGGAAAGAAAGAAAGAAAAGAAATAAAGAAAGGAAAGAAAGAAAGAAAGAAAATTTAATCTTGTATTTTCTTTTAAATTTTTATAGTTTTATCTCTTATATTCAGGTCTGATCAATTTTGAGTTAAATTTTGTATATGGTGTGAGGAACTGGTCCAATTTCATTATTTTGTATGTAGATGGCCAGCCATTCCAGCACTGTGAACAAACTATTCTTTGCTCTATTTAATGGTAAGGTCAAAAATCAATTCACTATAAATTTAGGGGTTTATTTCTGGACTCTCAACTTTAGTCCATTGATCTCTATGTCAATCCTTGTGGCAATACCACAGTATTTTCATTATAGGCTTGTTGTACTCTGGTTCTCTCTCTCTCTCTCTCTCTCTCTCTCTCTCTCCTCTCTCAAAGGATATGTAGTCCAGACTGGCCTTGAACTTGCAGTGATCCTCCTGCCTCAGCCTTTTGAGTGCTGGGTTTTACAAGTGTGCACTGCCACACCAGGCTCAGCATTATATATCCATTATATATCCTTTCCCATCCTTAAACCTCTAACCACCTATATTATTATTTTTGAAATGAGTTTCTTGTAAACAAAATATAATCCGTTCATGCTTTTTTTTAAATCCAGTGTGCTAATTACAGTGATACCTTCGTTGTTGAACAAAATTCGTTTCAAATTCGTATTTGAACACCAAAAAGTTCAAGAACTGAACATATTTCTCCCATAAGAAATCATGGAAAACCAAATAATTGGTTCTGAGGCCAAAAGATCACTCATATATTTATTTTTCCAGGACTTTACCAAATTTTACAATGATTTCTTTCTTTAACTCTACTGTGGCTATCTCAGACTCACTCTTGGCCATACAAGTTTTTTCAAGTCAGATTTTTGGTTTGATTATCGAGCAAGCCATGAACATCGAGGAGATTTTTTTCGAATTTTGCTGTTCGAGTAGTGAAAAGTTAGAGCTTAGAGCCGTTTGACAACCGAGGTATCACTGTAGTGCGTTTAGATGATTTGCATCTAATATAATTATTGATATGTTTAGATATAAGCCTATCTTTTTATTTATACTTTTTCTTCTCTTCTCTCTGATTTTCCCCTTTTTTCCCCTTACCAGCATTCTTTTGAGTTATTTAAACATTTTAATTTGCCTATCATAATTTTTATTATATTTCTTTGTATAATATTTTATTGGTTGCTCTAAGGGTTACAAAATATATTAACTTTTTATTGTCTATGGGGAATCAATATTTTGCCATTCATTGGAATGAATTTGAATGGAACCCACAAATTTCTCTTTATTATGCTGCAGTTGTTTTGTATATTATACCTACCTACATTGAAATCTCCATCATAAAATGTCTTTTCAACCATCAAATGTGTTTTAAAGAATTGCATGGGCTGTAGTTCTAGGGTCAGTTCAGTCTTTACAGTTCCCGTAGTGTCATTTGTGTTGTCCAGTCCACACTGTTAACACTCAGTGCTTAGTCTGGTGACTCAGTGGGAGTCTCAGTTCTCAGGGTCATCAGCATTCTCACTGGAATTAGATCCTAGCAGGCGCACATTGGGTGGGAATCCAGGAGTTCATGGGCAGCTTTGTGAGTTTACTTTCCTGAGATCTTTTGTCTCTCTTATCGCTCTCAACTTTTCAGTTCTCTGAGCTCCCTTTTAGGTACTCTATCAGAAAACTGCCAACTCCCACAAATGTACCACATCTGAGGTGAAGCAACAGGACAAGAACAGAAAAAAGCAATGGGCTTTTGCTCAGACAGCTCAGATCTGCAACTCTTGTTGAGTGGAAAATAATGTCCCCCTCCTCAGTTTTGGCGCCTGCAGGCTTCTCTTGTCAACCACACTCACTGCCATGGGCACATCTGGGGCTGGGACATGAGAGAATGGAGGAAAGAAGGAGAAAAATGGAGCTTCCTCCAACTGTAAGCATTCAAAGTTACCCTTCCCACTCCTGGAACTCTTGTTGCAACATAGTGCTCACTTTCAAGTTTCAGGTTGTCTTTCATTCAAGTTGGCGAATACGGGATGCCTTTATCATCTGTCTGTTCTCATATTTTAGAACTTTCAAAGAATAAGCTGTGCGTTTTTGCCACACTTTTATTATTAAATTCAGTGGGAGAAAAATGGTAGAATATGTTTACTTCATCTTAGCCACAACTAGATCCTCTGTTGACATTTTAATTCAATTCTCTGACAAGACATTACTTTGGTTTTAGACATTTATTTTTTGTCATATGTAAATGCTTTTGTTTTGATGATTTCATTAGCCTTTACATCACACAAAAAACAGGCTGTGTGGTTTTAGCCCAGGTGACAGACAAGTTAATAAAATCACCTTTGAGATGATTTCAGCTCTGACCTCTGAACACACCGTGAGACATCCAGGGACAAGACACTTTCAAATTCCACGAGACCCACAGAATTATAAGACATAACAAAGTATTGGGGTTTTAGCCACTAAATAGTAGGGTTATTTACAATAGACAACTGGAACAAAAATGTTGCAGTAAAGCTGACTCTTACACAAAAAATAGGGTTAAAAATCAAAATTTACTTCTCAATTTAGTTTATGCTGTTGATCTATAAATTTAAAACAGATTTAAGTAAAATTAAGATTAATTTTAGAATAACAAGTTACAAATGAGTGGTTACTTTCCTCAGGTTTTTTTACACTTTTGGCTTACAAATAACACACTAGCCAGTCTATATGCCAGAGATCATATACTTGGATGTTTTTACCTCCATGAAGCTTTCACGGAGCATAGTTCAAAATTCTCAAAAACCAACGGTCAATGGAAATCATGACTGAGACAGCCCATAGAGTTGAAGTGTAAAATAGCAATGTCTTGAAAACAGACATCTATTCCAGATCTTGGCTGCTCTTGAGCTCAATAATTGAGAGTTCACTAGGGTTACCCAGAATGGAAATTTCCTCTCAAAGAACTGGACTATTTTCCTTTCCATGGGCATGAAGTTAGGAGAAAAAAAACCTCTTTCAGAAGAAAACACTGTTATCAATAAATCTAGCTGTTTGTACTTCTCTGCCTATTTCACCTCAACCCCACCCTTTCTTATACATACCTTCTTTACATACCAGCAGAGCTCCAATGAGTCCTGAATTCAGGTCTTTCACCAGATCCACATGAGAAAAATATGAGTAGGTGAGACATTGTGGGTCAGAAGTCATTGGACCATTCTCTGTTGAGACCTGCCAAACATAAGTATGGCTTTCACCAGGAAAGACTTTATCATCTTCTTTCTCCCTTTGGCTGGTCTGATCATCATATTCAGCTCCTAAAAGAAGAAGGGATAGGGCTGGAGATTTAGCTCAGTGGTGCTGCACCTGCCTCGCAAGCACAAGGTCCTGAATTCAATCCCTGGTACCAGAAAAAAGGAAGAAGAAGAAGAAGAAGGGATAAAGCTGTTCTTTCTATGCCCATTGTCCACTCAGAGAAACATGAGCTTATTGTTACCAATGGATTCTACATAAGACTCAGAATTTTGAAAGTTTTCAATGATAAATGTTTGAGGAGACACATTTTTAGCCTGATTTAAGCATTCCACAATGTATACGTGTATTGAAACATGATCTGTTACCCTGACAACATGTACAATTTTCATGTTTTATGTACTTTAAAAGTAAAGAAATAAATTTAATTTAAAAAAACCACAATGTATATATGTATTGAAACATTACACTGTACACCAAAAAGATATACAAGTATAGTTGGGCAGAGTGGTGCATGCCTGTAATCCCAGCATTCCAGGTGACTGAGGCAGGAGGATCTTAAGTTGTAACCCAGGTTGGGCAACTTGTCAACTTAATGAGACTCAGTCTCAAAATAAAAATATAAAAGGGGCCAGGGATGTAGCTCAGTGGTTCCGCCACCTGCCTCACAAGCACAAGGTCCCGAGTTTGATCCCCGGTACCAAAATAAATAAATAAATAAGTAAATACAAATAAAAATATAAAACAAGGGTTGAGGATGTAGCTCAGTGTGAAGACCCTGGGTCCAATCACAAGTACTGTCAAAATATATATATACAATTATTATATATAAACAAAAATTCTTTTGAAAATTAGAAGAATAAATAGACTTTCTGAAACTTGATTTGAAAGATTAACAGACAGAAGCTACAAATGGGGAGAGGCCTCATGCAGTCCAGAGGAGCCTGAGACCACTAACCCTAGCAGAAGTAGTGAAAACTAGGCTTTGTTTTGAACCCCAGATCTTTTTTCACCAAACACATTGTCTCCACTCTTTTTTTTTCAAAATTGACATTTTATTTAGATTGAAATAAACTATACAAAATTTTCTTCACCAAAAATAACAGCAATATTTTCTGTATTATTTCTACATAAACCACAAAACATTTATTTTGTAGGTTTTCAGTTTTGCTTATAAATCAAGATGAGGCAGTAGATAAGAGTCATGGAAAAAGACAAGAAAACAGATGAGTCAGTTGCCTGTATGGATGGCCTCTGATTCTGCCTTAACAATGAAGCAGAAGTGTTCAACATTTGCCTGCTAAGAAGCTTATGAAGATGTAGGTTCCACAAAGGAATGTAAACAGCAATAACCACATGTGGAATAACAATGGCAAGCTCTTCCATTCAAGCTTAAACTTTAACCTCTTCTTTTAAGTTCATTTAATAAAGACAAAATCTACATTGAAATCTGGTACGCTTATAAACTTCTCTTTAATAATTCCCTTAACTGCCCATTAGAATTTTAATAACATACTTAAAACTCCTACTAATCACAGGCCAATGATGGCCTTCACCATAACATTTTATAAGACGCATTCGTTTCTTCCACACCACTTCAAAATTCATTTCTTCAAAAACTGACAACTCAATACTTGAAAGCAGATCCACAATGACAGTGTGTTGTCTAAAATGACTTAATTAAAACAATTCCATAATGCCACCAGCAGAGGTCGTGCCAAAGCAAAATGTGGCACTTACAATGCCATCTTCTGCCATTTTTTTTTTATTTTATTTTTTGGTACTGGGGATTGAACTCGGGACCTTGTGCTTGTGAGGCAGGCATCAGAACCATGGAGAAGAGCAGACAGGTCTCAGGCACACGAGGATTCAGAGGGGTCATTTAAATATGGAGATTATCAATGGCTAATATATTCAATGACAGGCCTGTAGGCTAACATATTCAGTGATTAGGTGGCCTACATACCCCTTATAGCTTTTCTTGCAAATAGCAAATATAAGAAAAAGCCCACTGTAAAAGTCTCTTAGGTATTTTCAACCGTTTCTGAATTATCTGTAGGAGGCTCTGATTTAATTGTATATAGTTTGATATATGTGTCCACCATTAAATCCAGATAATGTTTTATATCAAAATTTATGTTAAGCAAAGCCAAGTTACTTGACCTTTGGTCTGTCAAAGTGTTCCTCAAGTATGCTTTGAGACGCTTTCGTCCATTTTCATAGCGCACATTCTCAACTTTCATCACAGGAAGAATACACAGGACCTTCAGCAAGGCATACACATTAGGAAAAAACTTAATGTCAGGCTTCATAAATGGTAGATGGAAGCTCTATGTTTTTCCCTCTGTGTTTCCATTTGATTCTCCAAAAACGAAGTTTAGCTGAAAGTGTTTCAGGATTGAGTAGGTCACTTCTGTACATGTCAGCATGATGTTCCTCTGATGTGTTGAATTTGACCTGTCCCATGACTGAGGGTACCGGAGATAAGCATTTAAGAGTTTTGAGATGCTGTTCTGAGAATATATCTTTAAGTTCCTGAATAATGTGCTCCACTGCTGGGACACTCAGGGTTTCTTTGTAGTAACTCTCAGAAGTTAACTGAGATTCCAAGTTACCTTGTTGGGCCCTATGAAATTTACCAGGGAGTTTCATTTGAATATCAAGTTTGGTTGCCAAATTTGTGGCTTGCTCAAACCAAAACTCATGATAAACTTCAATATTTTCCATCACTTCATTGAGTGAGTGTAATATAGCAGTTAAACTACTGGCTGCAAAGAAAACATCAGAAGTTTGTCCCTGGAGATTTTTCCCAAAGGCCCTTGTAAAAGATAAGACATTTTTAAGAACAACAATGGTAACACTAAAATCAAAATCTGTTACTGCACTACAGAGTGCAAATGCTCGGCCAGCTATACAGTTATTCCACCTAATATTTGTGTCACTATTTATCCCATCTAAACATAAAACAAGTGCTTGCAGGAGGTCCACTAACAGTTCCAAAGCATCATGCCTGCCTGTCCACTGAGAACGACATATTTCCCTCAGTTCTTTACCCCTTTCTTCACTGTTCTGGAAAAGAACTGAAATTACACTGTTAAGTTCTAAAAGTAGTTGTGGAGATCGATGGAAAAAAGAACAAACTTTCTCAATTGTTCCCAATGGAACTGATACCCCCACCACAGGCACTGATTTTGCCAACCACATGTTTAAGGCACAGGAAGAGCAGAGTGTGTAGATAGCTTGGGGATATTTTTCTAGTAGTCTGGAAGCAGCAACTTTCATTTTAGAAGAAAATCCACTGGACACAATGGAAGCCTGGCCACAATACTCCATATTTAGTCCCCACTTCATAGTTATTATTGTGTGAAATTTCACAGCCAAAATTTCCGCATCAGCTTCATAAGGCAGGAAACCCACAAACTCCTCTCTCAGGTTATGAGATTCATCAACAAACCTCACCAGGACAGGTAAGGGCTCTTCCCCTGCTATGTTCACCACATCATCAGTGATGATGGAAAAGAAGTGTGAGTCTCTCACTGCCCTGAGGGTTTCTTCCCTAATACAGCTCTCACAGATCTCTAGCATTTGCTTCTGCCGTGCTTTTGAGCAGAACAGTGTGTTAACGGCTGTTGTCTCCAGGTGCTTTCTCAGAACCTCTTCGCCAGAATTTATCCGGCACTCCAACAAAGCTTGAACATTATCAGGCGTAAAGAGATCTGCCAGGATTTCGTGGGTCTCATGCCCGCCCAGAGGTATGTTTTGTTTTCCCATAAGAATCAAAATTTCAAATACAGACTTTAAGTATTCTTTGTTTTCCTTCCCTTCAAGGGTTAAAGGTAAAATGTCTTCATCCTGCTCATCCCCCTGAACTTCGGCACTGGAATTCTGAGCATTGCTATTGTTTGTTTCTTTATGCTTCTGTTCCTGTTCAGAATTTTCATCAATTTTTCTGTTTCAGTGTCCTGATTTCATCTTCACTCAATTCTTTTTTTCTTTTCCTGTGTCCACTATGTGGATTGTTCAAATGACTGGTGAGATCAAATGTTGTTGGTATTGCATGGTCTCCGAAGAACGGTCCTATAAGGACTCTCCCAATGACTTCACAAGTATCCGCTTCAGTTAATTTTGAGAAACAAAATAACCCAATCATTCTTTAGTTTTCTGATGCCTCTGCAAAATGTATAGTTCTACGGATCAAAGAGGTCTCGACGTGTTTGGCATGCAGCCAAACACTGATCACGTGTTTTATCTTCTAAATCTGCTCTCCTACAATTCTTCACCCACTTCCAGCATCTGGCCGGATCCCGCGGAAACCTGAAGAAGGCCAGGTGGGACTGCGTGCGCCTCAGCGTGCAGTTGAGGCGCTGCGCAGAAATTCAGCACCATCGCCCACCCCGTTGGCCTGGGCCGCTGGTGCACCTCCCGCCTCCTCTCCATTCTTGCATATTTCTGCCTAATTCAAGTTAATTCAACAACATTTGATGTGTTCTTTATGACACTCTTTGATAGGCACTGGTGAGGGTCAGGCAGCTATAAGATTCAGAGATTTTTTAAAACATTTTTTTAAAAACTTGGTTCTTCCCTAGAGGGACAACACCATATTTGGTGAGGGACAAAGAAATATAAAGGTATGATTACAATACAATTACAATACAATAACATTACAATTATAATTACAATACAGAAACATTCACTCATTTATTCAAGAGATACTTACTGAATTCTTGTCCTTTACCAGGCTCAGCTACAAGTTGAGAATATAATCAGTAAAACAGAAGTTTCCCATAACCCTTTTCAGCTCACACTCCATTCTCACCCCCTTCACCAGGCAAACACTGATGTGCTTTCTATCTTTATAGATTAGCAAGCCTGTCATTTTTGTCTGCCAAGCCAACTCTGGTAAACTGTACTACTGTTTGACCCACTTTCCCAGACCATTCCCAGGCTCTCTGTTCAGACCCCAACTGCAAGATTGTAGGAACCCTGGTCTCTCTAAAATCTCATATATCAGTCTGGAAACTCCAAAGTGGATAAGCCTCACGGAAGTAGGTTGCTAGTTTCCACC